TGGGCCTCAGTCCCCGGAGCCGCCCGCGCGAGTCCCATTTGTGCCCGACTGGGGTTAGCAGGACTCGCGTCCCTTGATCGCCGCGCTGTTTCTGCCCGGAGATCCGCGCCACTCGTCATTGTCCAGCAGTAACGGGCCTCCCGGTGACACCGTCTGCTGCAGGCCCAGGGTAGCGATGTGTACAGAGAGAGGCAACGCGAGGTTGGGGAGGATTCGGTAACTGCGGTCTCGCCCACCCTGGGGAAGAAGTCATGAGCCTTCCCGCTTCATAAATTAATAGGAAGTGGTTACCGGGGCTGACTTGTTCTTGAAGAGAGGAAATGACAGTTTATTCTAGGTGAAAGATAAATCGAGGCTGGTTTTAGCATTGATTTTACACAGTCCTACAGGCAAGAGGTTTTTTGTTTTTTAGCGGTACCAGGGATCGAACTCAAGACCTTGCACCGGCAGGGCCCGAACGACGCCACTGAGCTAAATCCCCGGCCCAGTAGAGTTCTAATCCTAGCGTTCTTACCTTATCGACCAAGGAAACCTTCACTTCTCTTTTATTGGGCTGGGGTCCCAGGCTCTTTATTTTTTAATTAGGAAAGAAAAAAAGTAAATTCTAGGGCACTAGTTTGCCTTTTTTTTTTTTGGTATCGGGGATCGAACTCGGCTTTAGAAGTAGGCAGCGGAACTACTGGGCTAAATTCCGCGCCCTAGTTTACCATTCTTGACCAAGCCTTAAGAATAAGAATCCCTAGGGATCATAATGAACCGCAATGACCAGATAACAGTGAAACCTCAAGTTACAACCGGCCCGACATACGAACAACTTGGGTTAGGTTAGTGGAAGATTCATCTGCCTCTTGCTATCAATAGCGAGTACCGGGTAAACATCCGGATCTCAGCAGTGCTGACTTACAACCAACTTCAGTTACAATCAGCCCTCAAACCGATCAAGTTTGTAAGTCAAGGGTCCACTGTATGTTTTTTATGGGAGCCACCTAGGGGATTAGCGTAGCATACTTCTGGGTGTGTCTGGGAGGGACGTGGAGGGGCCTCCGTGGATACCGTAGCTGGTTCCTGGCTTCTTCCGGTCTGGTGCTCCTTCCTTGGGCTCTGCTTCCTGTCAGCCATGATCTGAGCAGCATTACTCAGCCAGGCCCTTCCGCTGTGCTGTTTCTGCCTTGGAACCAGTCTCCTGGGTCCCCTCTGATGATGGCTAAAATTCACCTGTTTCTCTCCATCTCTGTTACCTACCATCAGCCAGGTCTAATTTATCAGTAAGGTTTTCTGGTATTTGTGTTCTGTAATAACTTCCTCAAAAATCCACATACTCAGCATCTACTCATGCAAATGGGTTGCCTCTCATGGATACAAACAATTATTGAAAGTTAATTATGGATACGGAATGGACAGTTATCACAAAAGATGTGAGTCAGCACACTCATCACACACACCCAGGAAAGCCCTTGAGCAGGGACTTAAGACTCTTGACCAGAAATGAAAGACACTTGGAGAGCTCCCTCTTTCTGTGTACCATCGCCTCAATAAATTTTGATTCTATGATTTATAGCAAATTACTAAGCTCTTTTGAGGATCACATTTAAAGTCAGAGAGAGGGGGGGGCTGGGGATTTAGCTCAGTGATTCCACCACCTGCCTTTGTATTAGGGAATACAAAAAAAAAAAAAATCAGAGAGAGAAAAAAAGTCAGGGAGAGTAATTAGGCCATGGAGAGACTCACCATGAAAGTGGGTCTAAGGGGGACTTAGCCCTGTACTCCATCAGGGTTAGCTCTTGTTACATTTCCACTGTTTAGTTGTAAGAAGTCATCGTTGTTTTTCACTTACACATAGCCCTTGGATTAGTTGCACATTGATTAGATTATATGAAAGAAAATTTTAAAATACACACCTGTGTTTCAGTTATTCATTTTTGTGGCTCGAACCCAGGGCCTTCACCCTGAGCTACATTCCCAGTCCTTTTTATTATTTTTATTTTGAGACAGGGTCTTGCTAAATCGCAAGGTTGTCCAGGCTGGGCTTGAATTTGTGACCCTTGCGCCTCAGCCTCCCAGAGCGCTGGGATGACAGGTGTGCACCACCACAGCCGGCTTCTGATGCCCACACTGCACTAGCTACATGCTTCCGGTCTTGGGAAGACAAAGACGGATGAAGGACAGTCCCCCCTTGTCCCTATTCCCTCTGTCCCCTCTCTCACCATCTCCGGAAAGGCGAACCATGAGTAACCTTGACGAGAGTCATACAGGGGAAGAGATGTAACTCCCAAACCTGCTAGATATCCGAAACGCGGGATGGTGTTCTCTAAAATCGAAGAATGAATTCTAGGAACAATAGAGGTTAAGAGCAGGAAAAATGTATTGAGAGAGAAAGCTTCTTCTAAGAGAGGCAGAAGGGGAACCGGAAAGTGAGTTCCCCGCTCACCCCACTTCTCAAAGATGTTTTATACGGCCAAGCCATGAGGTGAGGCGGGTACAAAGTGGGACAGAACTGTAAGACCCAATGGAAAATGACAAGGTGGGCAGGAGGTGGGGCAAAACCGTGACCAACCAATAAGATTACAGCTACAGTCACTCAGGTGAATAAGTGGAGAGCAAGTCACTTAGCAAGCATGCAAGGATTTTCAGCAAGGGTGGGGATCAGGAACACTTCCTGGAAAGGCAGGGTTAAGACCTTGGCCCCCCACCCAGGTGAATGAAACCTCTTTAGAATGTCAATCACTCTTTATCCCCAGGGGAAGCACTAGGGTATAGTTGTTTCTCTCCTTTTGCAATTCTGACAGCAGTGAATGTGTCTTGATTGCCCTCCACGTTGGCTCCTTGCTGTGTTGGCTCCTTGCTGTGTTGGCTCCTTGAGGGTGGCCCTGACTGCCTACAAGATATCTAATTAACTTACAACTTACCTATCTGCAATAAAAAAAAAATCTCAACTGGGTTTATTTAAGATGTCCCTTTTACACACACACACACACACACACACACACACACACACACACACACACACATTCAGAAATCCACAATTCCACCTACCATGCTTGTAGTTCATGAATACGTTTCTTAATGCAATAATAAAGTACTACAAAGTGGGTGATTTAAAACCACATCCAAAGCCGTCCCCACGCCTGTAATCCCAGCACTCGGGAGGCTGAGGCAGGAGGATCGCCGTGAGTTCGAGACCAGCCTGGGCCACATAGTGAGCTCCAGGTCAGTCTCAACTACATAGTGAGACCCTGTCTCAAAAAGCAAACAAACAAAAAAACCCCAAAACACATCCAGAAATCCTCAAGCTTTCCCCTTATGTAACTAATGAACCTTATTATTGCTAACTGAAAGCCTTTCCCAATTGGCGTTGGCAATTTTTGATAGTGTCTATAATAAAGACTGGAAACAATCAGTAAAAGGAATTGTCTATAGCTGTGGGCACTAACTGTAGGCAGGGCCGTGCTTGTCCCTTGCAGCATCTGGTAACAGGCATTCCTTGGCTGAGAGCGGCAGCACTGAACCCTGGCTACGTAGTATTCCTCTTTTGCAAATCTTTGCTTCTTCTTAAAAGGACATCAATTATACAGGGTTACAGGTCCTCCTTAATCCTGTGTGACCTCATTCTAATTTCTTGACGTCTACAAAGACCTCATTTCTAAACTTCACATCCACGGGGACTGGAGTTAGGTCTTCGATAGCCCTTTTCGGGGAGGTGGTGGTGGTACCGGGGATTGAACTCGGGGCCTTGCACTTATAAGGCAGGTGGTGTCACCACCGAGCGAAATCCCAGGCTCTTTAAACGTCCCTTTTCAAAGGGCCCATAAGTGGACCCATCACAGCTAATTAACTTTAAGGGTCGTGACATCTTTCATGATTTCTACTTTGCATAATAACAGTGAACTGATTTACAAAGCACATCCCCTTTGTGCAACTTTTCAGCAGGACTGGCTGACAGAAGAATGGGTTGGTTCTTAGCCAAACTCAGTCATGGCCACAAATCACTGATCTTGAAAGCAGGGCTCTGGATTTTCCCTTCCCTTTCTCACCCCGTTCTGCAGGGCACTAAGTCACCACGAGGAGACTTCCCTTCACCGCTAGCTCCTCTCTCAGGGCCCCAGTGACTAGTGCCCAGCTGGCCCCTTCTGCAGAGGCACAGTGATGCTGGACAACTAGGCCGTGCACTGAGAGGTCTCACAGGAGATTTTATAAGGGAAGGCAGGTTAGGGAGAGAGAGGAGAGAGAGGAGAGAGAGGAGAGAGAGAGAGAGAGAGAGAGAGAGAG